TGAAGAAGTCGTTCTGGGCAGCACTTTACGGTGTTGGCTTTGCTGTCACAGATTTGAGAGCTCCAGACTTAATTTGGGAAGCAATAACTCCAGAGACAGTGAAGACGCCTGATCTCATCCCTGCTTGCTGCACGGGCACACGCGGGACATTTCTGCTCCACATTCCTTTTCCCACAGCCCTGGACACGGGGAGGAAAGTCCCCCTCCTGTTCCCAGTGAGGGACACCCACTGCAGGGGGGCGAAGGGAGGCCTGGGGTGCACCGAGGGGACAAAGAGGCCCAGTGGGGACTGTGAGTGGGAAGGAAGGGGTAAAGGAGCTGGAGGGCATGGCTGGTGCTGGGCTGGGGGGGTGTGTGTGCTTCTCTGCAGGCGCCCTGGTCCCAGTTGAAGGGGTGCTGTGGGCATGAGGGTGGCTGGAGGACACTGTTCTGGTGGCAGTGTAATGGCTGTGATTGAGGCACCCCTTCCTCCTTCTACTTTTCTCCTTCCCCTTCCCCACTTCCCTTTTTCCATGGTGTCTGGGGGAAGGCACGGTCCTGGTCCTGGTCCCCGTGGAGCCAGGGACCACCATCCACCCATCCACCCATTCATCCGTCCATCCACCCGCGCATCCATCCCTCCCTCCACCCACCCACTCCCGGCAGCCCCCCGGCAGTGTGGGGTGCTGTGGGGGTCCCCTCCCGCTGCCCCGGGCACCGCTGGCAACTTCTTGAGCCCAGCCCGAAACGGGGGGGCACTGGTACCTCATCCCCCCCGCCGCCAGCGGGGCAGCTCCTGCAAATACCAGCACCCCAAAACGGCCCGCAGCCCTGCCCTCCCCGCAGGTCCGCCCTCCCCCCCCCCCCTCCCCGGCCCCGGATTCCACGGGGGATGCGCAGCTCCCCAGCCCCGGGGCACCGGGGAAAGTAGAAAATAATAAACTGCCCTCACGGGGTTTTATTTCCTTCACCCTTCCCCTTTTTTAATCTTTAAAACAGTAGTTAAAAAAATAGCCCTGTCTGGGTGCTTTGCCGTACTCTGGACCTGAGGGAAGTGAAGATGGGAGAAGAGAGGGTTGAAGCGATGGGATGGATGAAACGCGGTCCAAGTTGTATTCCCCCCCCCTCCCCTTTTCTCCACCCCCCCGCCCCCCCCAATTCGAAATCAGAAATTACTGCCTGAGGAGCAGATACTCCGTTTTATTGGCTCGTAAAAAAAAAGTTTTCAAAGCCTAATTTCCACCAGATACATTTATTTTCCGTTGAAAGCAGAATTAAAACAATACGTGCGAGTAGGTGCCATTAAACCTAAGCCATCTTTTGCTGTTAATCACAGAAGAGAAGGATTAGGAAAGTCAGTAAAGGAGCACTGTGTTTTGAACGCAAAAATCCATAGTTTTAGGAAGAGTAAGCTCGGAGGAGGGGGACTGAAACAGCCCAAGAAACAAGGAGGGACCCTTAATAAGAGTAAAAATTCAGCGTCAGGTTACTTCTCGATATTGCAAGGAACATGCCGGTCCCGGAAGGGATTTGTGATTGTGAAATGCATCCCTTGCTAAAATACCGTTTGATGCTTGTGTCGAAGAGGAAACCAAAACAATCTTTTCCTTTTAAGTCCCGATTTCAAAACAAAACCGAAAGAAAAGGGAACAAAAAAACCAACAAAACCAAAACAACAAAAAATCCTTCTAAATTTCAAACTGCAGCTTTGAACAGCTTTCCTGGCGATATTTGTTTTAAACCTCCCAGGCGGAGTGCTCCTCTGTTCCCGAGGTCTCCCTGCCTTCCCTTCCCCCGTTTCTGCTGCTTGGATGGTAGGTTCAGAAGCAAATGCCCTGCTAAATAATTGCTAGAATTTGAAAAAAAAAAAAAAAAAAAAAAAAAAAAAAAAAAGAGAGAGAGAGAGAAAAAAAGACGGGAAAATGCACACCAGCATTCAGGTGCTAACCTACTTATTTGAAAGTAATTTATTTTCCATTTTGCCCGTTTTCCCCCTTTAAAACAGAACGCTGAAAGAAAGAATAAGTGCTTTAACATTTCAGTGTTGTGCTCTGGTAATTACTTTTTCACTTTTCCCCTAAGTTCCAATGTGAAAACCTCACAGGGGGGTCTTTGCTGTAGCAGGGCTACAGTTCCCAATCCCAAGCGCAAGATCTGCAATTACAAACCCATTCGGTGCCCTTCCCTATCATTAATATGCACAAAATCCTGCTGCTAATCTTATAATCTGTTTTGTTTCATCAATTGCTTGCCTAGCACCAGGCGGGAAAGAAAAAAAGAGAAAGAAAAAGAAAGAAAGAGGAGAAGAATAAAGCCGTAAAAACACGGAAAGCTTCCTAAAGTAAACGAAAAAACAAATAAATCGGATTTTATTTCTTATAAAGAGAAAATGGTTAAGACTGTGAAATGGAAGAAGAATTTTCCGCTGACGGGGGGTGTGGGGTGTGTGTCAGGAAAATTTAAGGAGAAATCTGAATCTAGCCAAAATTTTATTTGCATATTCGATTTCCCCGCGTGTGAAATGAAGTTAGTTAAGCAGTCAGCTGTGGAAGCGAGAGGTTGCGCGGAAACACCTCGGAAGAAGTTCGTAATATTTCTTGGCTTTAATGAGGGAGCGGAGGCGGCGGGCGGGGTTTGGGGGCGCCTCCGCGGCCGCGCAGCTCCCGCGGGCTTGTCACGCGCTGTCATTGAGACTTCAGTAAAACAATGAAGATGTTATTTTTTTTGAAATCCTCTTCTCTCTCTTCTCTTCCCCCCCCTCCCGCCCCCAACTCCCGGCGCGGTATTAAGGGAATAAAACAATCTACGCCACACGGGTCCTATTGAGATTAATGAAAAAATTATGCAAAAAAGCAAAAAAAAAAACCCCTACCAAACCGTATATCTCATAAATCTCATTTTCCGTTCCCTGAGCCAGGCCTCGCCTCTGTCTTGCCTTGCACCTGATGATTTATTAACGTAATCTGCGGGGATAACTACACATGTGCCCAGCTCCGGTTTGTCCCAGCTCATCTTCTAAGTAATTGTTTCTCATTAGTTCTGATAATGTTTTAATAGTGTTACCCATAATTTAGTCAGCCAAGAATTAATAACGGAGGGTGCCCTGAAACTCACGGAGGGGAGGGGGAGCCGGGGGGGGGGAGTTGCGAGGTGCAATATAAACAGGTAGTCTTTAATTAATCAGATTAGCCTGGAGGTCCCCGCGCTGTCAGGGATGCCCCTGCGCAGCGCCCTCGGCCGGGACCCGCGTGGGGGGGTTGGGGGAGTGCGTGGGGGGGTGCCGACCCGCGTGGGTGGGTGCCGACCCGCGCTGCGCACCCCCACGCTCCGCGGCGGGGCCGCAGCGTGGGGCGGGGGAGGCTCCGCCGCCGTCCGCTGCGGAGGTGCCGGGGGGGGGGTGTGTGTGGGGGGGTGGGTTATCCGTCCGTCCGTCCGTCTGTCCGTGCCCCGTCCCGCTCCTCCGCCGAGCCCAGCCGTGTCCCCGCCATTCCCGGGGGGGCCGCGGCGAGGCGCTCCCGCCGCCCCCCGGCCGCCCTTTCCACGCGGGTTGGTCAGTGGGTTTTGGATGGGTTTGTTCCCCCCCCCCCCCCCCGACTCACCCTTCTTTTCCTTCTCCCTTAACTAAACCCAAAATAAGCAAAATGTTTAAAATCGCTGCTCGGAGACAGAGGGGAAGCATACTAAGCGAGCAGATGGGAGGAATAAGCCACTGTGACTCCATACGTAAAATGGCCATGGAGGCGGTGAAAAATGAAACTAAAAAACAACTGTTTTCTATTTACAAATTTAAATAAACAGAACAGCCTTCCCCGCGGTGTTTGTCTAAGTGCAGCAGCATTGCTGCTGTGTAGGTCATGAAAAGGTTGGTGCATAGTTTAAAACTTCCCATTCTGTTAATTTCTTAAAGAACAGTCGTTCATAGTCTGAGCACAAAAGCTCATGATTTAATGAGGAACAGAAACAAAATCTCTGATTGTTGGTGTTTCAAACTTCATTGGAGTCCTCTGGCAACCACAAGTTGATCCTCTGCAGCTTCAATACCCTTTAGCCCTCCATATAAGAGTACATGCTGAATAGAGGACAATGCCTGGTTGTTATGTTTATTTACCCTTACTACAAGCTGGGTTAACCTCTTCAAAACAGCTTTACTAAGCCCGTTAACCACACGGCCCACATGACCTGTAGCCGTATCCCTAATGTGATGTAAATCTGACTGGAGACCATATGCACAAGTTCTGCTGCATTGTGTCTCCAAAAACTACAAGTTTATTGCCGTCCAACCCTTCCCAGGCTGGACGCTTCCAGGAGGAAACACTCTGAATAGCGACCGCGTAAAAAAAGTGAAGAAAGTCAGGAGTTCCGTGTTGTCGGAGCGGTATTTTTAATGGCTGTTGCACATTTACAGAATTGGGGGGGGGACATACATGGATGCGAAGCCCACATAGGGCAATGATTTTCATTGCAATTATTTCAACCGGTGCGTAATTATTCGAGGCTTTGCCCTTCTTGATGGCAGTTCTGCACCGGAGCGGGAAGAAGCGTAGGTACAAATAGAAGCGACTGACCCGTTTTTCCTCTGCTCTTTTAATGGAGCTCACAGCTTACGTTTTGCCTTTCTCCTTCAGTGAAGTCATAATCCTGCACTCGTAGTAATTATCGTGATGTCACACAGTCGGTGATGTAACTTCGTTGCAGGCTGCGAGTAGGATGTGGGCCGTGCAGGAGCGAGCAGTGGTTTGAATATAGTTTTAGTAATTAGCAATTCTGGCAAGCGAACTATGACAGATCTGCAGAATGGAAATGAATTTCTGCTTAAGCTTGACGTCTTTAATTTTTTTTTTTTTTTTTCCCCCAAGTATTATAGTCATCTTTTAAAACAGCTACTGGGGCCCCATGGCGAGAGCTTCATTTACCAGCTCATTTTTTCTTGATGGCTGTGGCAAGCGTAACAATGTTCTGTGCCTGCTTCAGTAATGGCATGTCGATCATGCTCCCGTGGAAAGTAAATGCTCCCTGGAAAAGAGAGAATATAAACTTCCTGAGAGGACCTCTGGAAATCGTAGTTGGCTTGTCTTTTTCTTTAACAACACATCCGTTCGCAAAGAAACAGCAGCTCCCCCAGGAATCCTGAATGAGTTTTAGGAGACAAACTAACATAGACGGGGCAAATGCGTTTAAAGAAATGCGGTGGGTGCCGAGTGCTCCAAAGGGGAGGCAAAAAGGGAGAGAAAAGAGGAGCCCAGCGTGCAGCCTGCCCGTTTCAGCCTCTCTAACTGGCAAACGTCGAGGGCCAAGAGCCGCCAGGCCGTGCTTGCCAGCCGGGGGGGTGCTGGCAGACATGGTGCTGGGGGGGGGCAGTTCTGCTCCCCACGTCCAGCATCCCGCTCCAGCACCCCCCAGGGCTGGGCTGCAGGGCCGGCGTGAAACTGTCTGCAGATGCAGAGCAAAGCCAGAAGTGTTACCTTTGTCAGGAAACAGCAACAGGAGGGGTTTTTTTTTTTTTTTTTTTTTGGAGGGGTGCGTGTGTATGTGCATGTGTGTGTGCAGGGAAGTTCTCCTGACTTGGGGGTGTGTTGAGGTTTGCTGCTGCACCTCTCCATCAGGTCTCTGGTGCAAAAGATAGGCTGGGCTTGTGCTTAGAGCCAGGGGCTGGGATGAAAGCTGAAAAAACAAGTGGCTGGCATGATAATATTGCCCAAATCTGCTCTGGGGCCAAGGTGAAGCCCACCCGAGCGCTGCATGTGGGGCATCTCCCCGAGCGGATGCAGAACTAGCCGGTGGCCACCTGAGAGCCAGGGCACGTTTCAGGAGTCACTTTGTATTTCTAGGGATTTTGTGCTCATACCACGGTGACCAGTTTAAAGTAATTAACTAGGAACCGTAGTTAAGTCTTAAACAGAAGGAACAGGTTTTAAATAGGGCCAAATGTGGCTTGTTTATTTGGATGCTTTAATCTACAAATGTGTTGCTGAGGTAGGATTTTGATGATAAAACACTGTGCACCAAGACATGCCAAAGTTCCGTAGACCAAAAAAAAAAAAAAATTTATTTGTAATTCTGACAGCACTTTGACACATTCTTGAAAAAATCCCAAATACAAAGATGCGATCCCTTCCCTGAAGAATTCAGAATTGAAGGCCTGGCCCCAGCGTTGCGTAGGGCGTCTCTGTGAAGCACTGCGCGCCCCTTGAATGTCCTGCTGCAATCGATGCGGGGTCGCAGGCCGGCCTTGGGTTTGGCAGAGGGAGAGGCTGACCAAGAGCAGGGTAAGGACGACAGCCGCACGTGCGGTGTGCCTGCACAGCGAGAGAAGTGCAGAGGAGAACAAGCCGTTTACTGCATTTTTGGTTTTCTTTTAAGGCTTGATAATTATTAAATAGAGGACTCTAGTAAGTAAAGTGAAAATATAACCTGCTTTCAAAAATGTTTAGGAAATGTGTTGCTCCGGTGACATACCTAGCTTGACTGAAGCAGTATTTATTAAATACTAGATCACATTCTAGAACAGTTAAGACGAAAATCCACCTTAAACAGTAATGTAATACAAATCAATATTGTTGTATGTAAGAACAGGCTGTATTAAAGCCATTAAAAACCTGATAGTTAAAGCTATTATTTTATTCAAAATAGGATTTCCTACTATAGCTTGCAGTATTTTAGGTGGGCTTGGAGACTAGTGGGACTGACAGATATTCAAGGGTAGATGGTTCAAATCTAATTTCTTGTTTACAGAACAACCAATCAACTCTACATTACCCCAGCAACAGCAACAACATTAATATTATTATTATTATTAATAATAATACACTACTTTTAATCTTAGCTACATCTCAGTCATTTTCACTCACACTTTTAAACCGTTACAGAAAATGCAGCCTCAAACTATTCCATTTATTAACTGTTGTGAAAATAAATTGGCAACTAAGTAAACATTTTATGACACAGGACTTCTTCAGAATAATCCAGGTCTACACAGTGACCTCAAACTGCAAGATATTTTTTTTTTTACTGTAAGGAAAGTATGTTTTAATTGTGTCTATTTTTCTATAGGCATTCAGTCAAATAATAGCTATTGCTTAAAAGAGAAATTTGCGTGTGGGATGACAGTGATAAACAGAGATATGTTAAGGTCTGGAATCATCCTTCCTAGTTCTGTGAAGTGTCTGACTTAGGAGCACTGTTATCCTAAGTACCTGCAATAGTTTTCAGAAAGAGATGGGCACCTAGGGATAGCAATTCTGATCTCTGATGGTCCAAATCATGATTGGGAGGGTCTTATCCCTCCCACTGACAGTATACGGGATGCTCTGAAGTCAGGTACCTCTGCAGGTGCCTAAGTTGGAGCATGATGAACTGGGTCAGGATGTCTTTTTTAGAAAGCAGGAGTTAATTAAACAGCATGCCTGTCCTCTCTTCATTAAAATAATGTTTAGAAAGCAAACCAGGATAATGGTGTGTGTGGACACATGAACACCGAAACACTTGAGATCTGCTGTACGTCCTCTTGTCAGCGTGCAGCTGCAGTTTGGGTTGCTAGGTATTTGAATGCTTGAAGAAAAAAAAAATTTTTTTTTTTTTTTCCTAACACCAAAGAGTAACACGAAGTTGGCTTCTCTGCCTGTTCACTCTGAGGCTTATTTTCTCCCTGCTAATTTGCAGTGTTGAGCTAAAGTCCAGAAAAAGAAACCGATTTTAATGCCATTGAATATACTCTATTCACTGCCACTCTTTCCACCCACAAGTTTCAACAGATAGGAAATACCAGTAATTACAGCTTTGTCCCCATGCTCTCTTTTCCAATTCTGCTAGATGAAACTTGCCTTTAGCATGCTTTTGATTTTCTCTTGCATGAATATAAAGAAAACAGGGCTTTCTATAAACACGTTTTGCTTTGATAGCGTTAATCTGGGGATTAATTTAGTCATAGATCTAAATTTTCTTTTTGGCTAATCTTCTCCATAATCTCACGCTTCCAGCCTGTACTTAGACTTCCAGTAGTTCAACGGTGGGACCAAGGGCCTGTTCTTAAGGAAGCTGGCAGTGTGAGTGGGAGCGACGGCGGGTGCGTGGTGCGAGGCTGGGGTTTGCATCCACCGCGTCCCGTGGCTGCGGTTCTTGCTCGCCACGTGGCCGTACACACCGGCCAGTGGGAGCCTTTTCAGAAACCTGTTAAAAGGACCCTGCCATCAGGCGAGTCGAAGGCGTCAGACCTGCCCGGGGAAGAGACAGGCCCTCCAGGTAAAGGCTGACGGGAGAGGGCAGAGCCGCAGCCGGCGGGCGCAGCCTTCGGGTAACTTGGGTGGGATGGGGAGCGGGGGGAAAGGAGGAAACCTGCGGGGCTCGCCGGACAGCGGGCTGGAAGCGCAGCCCTTCTGAGGAACAGGCGGCTCTGGGGGCCAAAGAACACCGCCACCCCCATTTTAAGGGGGGCAGCACATGTCCTGCTGTCCTTATCCAGCGCCATCCTTCGTGCAGCAACACAGTGAGTGGGACAAACAGGGTGACTTTGGCACGCGCCAGCCCATCGGCTACGGGGGCTGTCGGAGCGCGTTGGCTGGCCTACACCGTACAGCTGTGGAGGCAGCACAGCACAGCACAGCACAGCACAGCACAGCACAGCACAGCACGGCACGGCACGGCACGGCACAGCACAGCACAGCACAGCACAGCACAGCACGGCACGGCACGGCACAGCAGAGTGGAGGGGGTTGTGTTTGCACAACCTTTGGCTTCCCTCAGCCTGATGGCTGTATGCCTCTGCCAGAGCAGATAATCAGGGAGAAATCAAGTAAGAAAGTGAACAAGCAGGGTTTCCTGTTTGGGTCATCGCGCAGAGTGGCTAAGAGTCCTTCCCAGCTGACCGACAAGAGAGGAAAGACTGAAAGGTGTTTCCTTCTGGATAGCTCTGTGTGAGAAGAGCAAGAAGAAGGCAGCAGACCCATCTAGCTCCTCTTCTCTCCGCCTGGCTATTGCAGCTGCCCACAAAGGCCACCATGCCGTCATTTCTCCATCTCTGTCTCTTGTACCAGCCCACCTTTTCCAGGCTGAGCGATGCAGAGCCAGTACTGTGCAATTTGCTGCATCCCCCAGGAACCACGTAGTATTTGAATGCAATAAATTCATGATGACATTTAATGCTCTGTTAAAACAGTAGTAACATTTTAAAAAACGTAACAGCTATTTATGCAAGATGCAGGCCATGCTGAGTAAGGTCTTAACAGATCGACTTTGAAATTCAATATGTCCTAAAGTGCTTTGAGAGTGGAACAGAGAAGGCTTTTGGCAAATACAGAAAACAGCTGAAAGGGAATTAAAATTATAGAAAGCTGCTTTTTTTCTTTTTTTTCTTTTTTTTTTTTTTTTTTTCAGAAGGGAACAGCAAAAAATGATAGTCTTGGAAAAAAGAGAATGGAGCATGGTCAGCCCCAAGTGGTAGAAAGATCCAGCCTATAGACTAGAGAAGTGATAAGGCAGAGTTGACAGAGAACAGTCATTTTCACAGGTCAGGAGTTGATGATATAGGCTCATGAAAAAGGGGGGCAAACCACGTTGTGCAGTAGGAATAACTAATGCAATAAGTTTCCAGGTGACAATGGAGAGACTGAAGAGATGCAGAACCTAACTTTGTAACACATCAGTTTGTCAGAGCTTATGCTTGTACCTTATGAACCTCCTATTGGATAAAGGCAGCCACTACCCAAACCAACTCAGATCTAGCCAAGTTCAACAGGTCATTGAGGGATCTTCTTTGACAACTTAGAAGACAACTCTGGCCATGTGTTGCCATGGATGTTGGACATGGCTCTTGTTGTATCTATATATCCTCCTTAAAGATTTTCTTTATCTATAAGGAATGACATGTATGAAGTCACAGAAGGAGTCTCAGTGTTGGTCTGTTATTTGCATAGCCAAAAGATGAACATGTTAATGCAGTGTTTCCTGGAACATGAAGGCCTCCTCTTTTTGTGTGTGTGCAGCATCCAGGAACATTTGCTCTGTGAAACTTTTGGGAGTGGTTAAGAGGTTGGTAAATCTATACAACCATCCCATAAACAGAGTATATATATATACACGTGTGTATATATATGTATATGTGTATATATATGTGTGTGTGTATATATATATTTTATGACAAGAAGCATTTTACCTTTCTAGAAGTTAAATGGATGAGATTCAGAGTGCATGATTTCTGTGCCGTCTGGGGATCAGTATGTTCTGGTGGAACCAGGGAAGGGGAAGAAACAATACAGCCAATTCTCTTGCTAGAGTTTACCACGGGTGGTAGAATTGTGCTGACTTTGACTACAACAGAGGATGGACAGGATCATAAGTGAGGTACCCTTCATGTTTTTCCAGATGCTCAGGGAAAGTAAAGTTTCACAATTCTTCACCTGTCCTGAAAACTTTTTATATAATATACAATGTTACATGGGGTTTTACTCCCACCATCTTTTGTTCCCTTATGTACCACTGGGTTAACAAGAGAAACAAGCTGGCTAAAACTATCAGGATACAGAACATTTAAGGCACCTCATAGTTACGTGACACATTTCACTCTGAGCTGTGGATTAAAGTACATGAGTTAATTAAAGTAAAGTAATAATTGTTCTGGGACATGTGGGACGGTGATCAGACAAGCTAGTCCCCTTTGGCTGACAAGAAGGAAGAATTAGATGTACTCCTGCACCCGGGAATGCTTGTGGCTTTTTCCTCAGCATTTGCTCTGCCTGTGGTTATCTGTGCCTCTATCCACATCCATCCCCATGACTGCAATGAACTCACTAAGAGGGTTACTGCAGACCCTCAGTTCTTAGACCACCAGAATCTATTAATCACCAGCACTGGTACTGAATGTGAGGATTGGCTTTCCTAGGGCGTAGCAAGTATATGAATTTCAAAGTAAGTCCTGTAAGTTCCAAAAAGTCTATCGGCTTCCTGTTTGATAGCAGATGGGAGTCCCATCATGAGCACTGGTTGCAACCACTCTGCGCTCTGTTTTGGGAACCACTGCTGTTATTAATTACCTCGATTATTGGCAAGCCTTTGCAAATAAACTTTTGATTTGATGCCCTGTTTTACCAGATCTCATCATACATGTAGCCAACAACTTTAGCTCCCATGTGACAGGGGCCAGGACTTTCTTAAAGATATATATAAAGTCTACATTAAGCCTGTGGCTTGTCTAGAGTAGAAAGAAAAAAATCAATTGTCTTGCATCCGGTGAAGGAATATAGGCAATAGTGCTATATTAATTTGTTGTGTGTGCCAACATATGGGCTATCCTGGGCCACTATGT